TCCCACAGTTTCTGCTAAAGGCGCATTAATCTCTATGCAGGAAGGTGAACCTACAATTCAGAGGGTGGCGGTAATACGCACCAAAAGTTGTACGTCACCGTGAATAAACCGACGAAGAAGAATCCAGAGCGACATGCAAGATCACTAACAATCTCCCATAATGGTAATTAAGTGTTTGTATTTCAGTTCTCAGATAATGTTTTATAATACAGCATTACAGTATAACCTTCCTGATGTCTGTTTGTTCTTGTCTTCTCCAAGCCTAGCTGTTAACATGTCTGTTAGTCTGTGATAGCAGCTAGCATCAACGTCAGTTAGCCCTCAGCTTGTCAACAACAAACGTTATGATGGCCATTCATTCTGTTTGCTTTTTCATCAAACAAGTTAAATATGCGGCTAATAAACTAAGACCTTTTGGGGTCTTATGTTTTCTGCTGATGTTGCTTCGCGGTTTGTTGAAGGTGTTTTCTGTGTTTCTATGTCAGAGCGCTCAACTGAAAGATGTCATCATCAAGCCAGATGCTCCCAGCTCTCTGCTGCTGGATAAACATGCTGATTACATCGCTGCTTATGGCTCCAAGAAGGATGACTATGTGAGTAAAGCCTTATTTACACCCAGATCTTAGCTCATGTGATCCCTCACCAGAGTCAGCTAAATGTGTTCATGTTAAACTTCTAAGCTGATCACACTGATGTAAAACTTTTCAGTAATATATATACTTTGTTTTCACTGATATCTAAACTCTTGGGCAGTGGATTTAAAATAAATGTTTCCTCTAAATCCCACCAGACACTGATGTGGGATCTTCAAATAGTACCACCATAGTGTTGAGCAATAAATAATACAGAATACACATATTTTCCTCCTTGTAGCTTGGTGCTACATTGTAATTTGTCTCCACTAGGATGACATTTGGCCAGTATGTCCATTTTTGTTTTGAATGACATCTGCTCCCTCTCCCATGGTTCTGTTCAGCACATTTCTCTGCAACCACTGGTTGTCAAAGGTACACAGAAATCAAGGCCGATAGGCTGAATTTTAATAAGCATAACAGCCACATAAACTGTGTTTTTAAACACATGTACATCCTTATTTGTATATACCGTATATGTGGGAAAGCTCTTGCCCCTTTAGTAGACAGAGAGCTATCTTTAAAGGCATGGGTGGAGTGTAGGTTTAGATGGATTCCCAAATGTTTCATTCTAAAGCAGCTGATTGTAATTAATTGACTTTATTAATCTCACAGTGGAGAAATTTACTCGTTACATCAGTTCAAATAGTTAAGCTCAAATAAGAGTGTTTCAGTTTTTTTCTCTACCCCCCTAAAAAACAGCATCATTGCCGTTTGCAGAAACTAGTTCAATTCAGTTTATTTATATAGCACCAATTCACAACACGTGTCAATTCAAGGCACTTTAAAGACACATTTAAACCATATCATTCACTTAGATTGGTTCAAAGTATTCTATCTAAAGAAAACCAGCATATTGCATTGACTATCGAAGGCAATCCTTCACACATCAAGCATGCTTGTAGCGACAGTGGAGAGGAAAACTCCTTTCTAACAGGAAGCAACCTCCAGCAGAACCAGGCTCAGTGNCATCTTTTATGATGACAACTAACCCCTGAAACTTTGGAGTTGATTGACCTTTATTTCTTAAAGTTATAAGGGGGGGACAAATTATAGCAGGCCACCTGCTATAATCTGTTCCCCCTGTCTAAATCAAGCAAAAAAGGCCCCAGCTTTTTCATTTTTGGCTTATAAACATATTTTATGATGACAACTAACCCCTGAAGCTTTGGAGTTGATTGACCTTTTTTTCTTAAAGTTACAAGGGGGGAACAAATTATAGCAGGCCACCTGCTATAATCTGTTCCCCCTGTCTAAATCAGACAAAAAAGGAGCCATCTGTGAACTGTCCGTGTGCTTCCAGTGACTTATATGCTTTGAATTCCTCGCAAGTGTAGTATATAGTCAGAGAAACAAACTCAATCCATTAGTCCTTCGTTTAGCTATGCTGCGGTTGTTTACACTACGCCTTTTCCACCAAAAATGGCGTCTTAGCAACAAATGTCACGTGACCAGCGGAGACCGATATGTAGCTCCACAATGTTAATTATAAAATAACTTCATTTAAGCCCAGCCTTGTCTAACATAGAGAGTAAATTAATCTCTGTTTTCTCTTTTAGGAGTTTTGTTCCAAGGACTTCAACAGAACATTTTTGGCTCTTTTTTTCTTTTTCACAATGTTTTCCTGCAAAGAAATGAATGAAAAATAGCTGAATGTGTATTCGGGTTATTCATTGTTACATTGTCAACGTGGTTCATATTTATAATGTTATGAACCTTTTCGAATGATTTTCTTCCTAGATTTAAAGATCCCGCAAACATCAAAGTCTTTTTTAAGTTGTATTTCATGGATTTTGGTTGTCTCTTGTGGGGAGTTACCATCTGATCTCACAAATTACAATAAAGTGCCATCATGTATATAAGTAATTACATTCTACCTGCCTCTCCCAGTCTGAATTGTGAATAAAGCATCAACAGAACATGGGCATTAGAACCTCAGCAGGTGAAGACAATGAAAGTTAAAAGTCTGTTTATAAAGAAAATACAACAACCATAACAAGGAGGTAGATAATGGAAGATCTCCTGTTATAACATGTGTTATACCGGTAACTCCAGTAGGAGGTTATAATACACATTTTTAGCTGTTTAGATGATATCAGAGTATTGGCTAGATGCTTAGAACAGATCAATTCATAGAAGTGCCATACTTTTCTTCAATTGAATTTAAAAAGCAAAGTGAGGTAATAATCTTTGGACCAAAGGTGGAGAGATCCAGAGTTAGCTGACAGCTTCAGCTACTACAGCTAGAAACCACTAATTATGGTTGAAATCTTGGTGTCATGATGAACTCCAACCTGATCCTTCAGAGGAACATAAAGGCACTTTCAAATCAGCCTTTTATCAAGTGAAGAACTTTTCCAGGATTAAAGGACGAATGTCTATGCAGGATCTAGAAAAACTCATTTGTGCGTTTATCTTTAGTAGAATTAATTACTGCAACAGTGTCATCATAGGTTTGCCAAAAACAGGGGTCACTATCCTTTCTAAGGCTGAGGGATACTTCATGAGAACTGAGTCACAGGAAGGGCTACCAATACTGACCTATGAATGGCAAGGGTCAACGTTCACCTAAATTTCATACATAATAAGCATATTTGTATTGCTTCTTTCAGCTAGTAATTTTCTTTATGATATTGTCAGTTTGAAATCTCTATGACTGCCTAAATGCTCTTCATGATTAAAATTATGAAATGCTCTATAAATGAAAAAAAAGAGGGCGTCTATCACTGTTGGGGTGAAGCACAGGTTAGCAACCATGATAATCTGACAGAGGACGATTATCCATGTGAATCACTAAACTGGTTCAACAGTTCAGTCCATCCCAGAGAACAAGGTAGGATTCAGTCGGAGCGCTGCGGACTAGATGCAGCGGCGGCCACACAAAGTGTCCCCAATGCTGCAGTACCGGAGGACACGCATGAGTAAGGACAAGTCAGGATCAGGAAATCAGAAACATTATAGTAAGCATTAAACCGCTCTCTCCACAGAGATCAGACAGGAACAGATGTGCTCAGTGAATGAGAGGCAGAGTAGGTCAGGATCCGTAAATCAGAGACACTATGGTACGCTAAAAAAAAAACCCTCTCGGCTGGACCCCAAGAATGAGAACATGATAATCTGGCCGTGATAGCTGAATACAAGTCCCTTAAATAGAGGCAGGAGCAGGTGGATGAGATAAGCGGTAATGAGAAACCAGGCAGAGTTAGACAGGTGAATGGAATGAGCAATTAAGCCAGCCATTAGCACCAAGATTGTGACACTAATGTCCCCTCTATAGTGATAAGGACACCCTACATATGCTTTAAGACCCTGCTCTTCAAAAAGTCTATGGCTTGCAGGAAGAAAAAAAAAGTGTATACAGACTTTTTAATAAAGAGGACCATCAAAGCAGAACTTAGATATAAACTATATAAATAAACTAACTTAAATGAAGAGAAAAGTAAAAAAGGATTACCAAATTTCTAGAGGACAACAAAAATATAAAAAACATGGAAAGTATTGAATACTATTAATAGAGACAGAAATTGTACATCTTACTATCCTGTATACTTTTTGCACAATGAGACCATTGATGCTAAAGCTGTGATTGTCACTGAGTTAAAAAAAATACTTTGTAAAAGACTGGACACCTTTATCTCCAAACCCAATATTTTGTACGCCCATCAGTATGGCTTCAGGAGAAATACAGCCGCTTCATTTATGCTAATAGATTTTGTGGAATTTTTAACTTCTGCAATAAATAAAAAAACAGTACGCTATAGGGATTTTTTGGATATTAAAAAGCCTTTTAATACAGTGGCACATGTTATAAAAAATAGAAAAAAACTAATCTATGGAGTGGCCCTTTCCTGGCTCACTAGCTATCCAGATAATCGAAAAAAGTACATTGAAATAAATCACCTAAAATGAAAAAAAATATGAAAATAGAGTATACAGTTTCATAAGGCTCAGTTTTGGGACTATTATTATTTTTTTTCTTTATTAATGATATCTGTGAGGTGTCTAGTCCAGTGCTGTTGGAAGTCATTTTGAACAAGGGGTGCGCTGAATATATTTTTCACTCCTTAGGCTTCCGTTGCTCAGCGTGACATTAATTCATCACTTTCGTTCTTAGATCTGAAACTATAACAAATAAACTAGCTCTACTCTGTTAAAAGCAATCTTGTTTTCAGAATATACAAATCTTTTTTCATTCTGTGAACAATTGGGAAGAGCCTTTGGAAACTGATCGCAAAGAACTTATGAAGTTTAACAAATGGTTCAACATTATTTAACATTTAATTTTCACAAAACAAAGTTTATATTTGGTAATAGACTTATTAAGACAAAACTCAGAAATTAAAGGAGTGTCTGAAACTAAGTTTCTTGATGTAATAAAATAAAACTGAGTTAGAATAAACACGTGAACCACATTGATATAAAAATATCCACGTTCATTTCAGTTCTATACAAATATACAATATACTTTATACTGTTCCTTCACTACCTATATGACTCATTGTGTTGAAGTATTGGGGGTTCACTTATAAGACAACAACCAACTCTGTCTTTCTTCTTCTAAAAGGCAATCTGAATATTTATGAATAATGAATAATACACAATCAGCAAACTCTTTATTACGATGAAAATATTAAAGTTTGAGGCTCTGGTTAAGTTTCAAAATGTTTCTAATCATGCACAGAGAAAAAAACAAACAAGTGCCATTTAGTATTGAAACGCTTTTCCAAAACAAAAGAGAGCGAATACTGTCTATCAGGAACATATATATTGAACAAACCAGTAATTAGTAGTAATGCCAAACTCCACTACTCTTCCTCAAAAGGTGTTCAGTTATGAAACATCTGCAGTGATGAAATAAAATCATGTTAAAGTTAAAACAAATAAAGAGGTACTTATTATAATTTAGTATTATACTGTATTGTGATTATAATGAGATTATTGTGATTATTATCATTATTCAGTATTATTAAAGATTGCTAATGAGTATTATGATCTATACTGGAAACTTTGTTGTATTATGAATTACAAAAAAGAGTAGTTATTATAGGGTATTATTATTAATCAATATACCTTTATCTTATTTTTTTTTTTAATGATGTATTGTCAAAAATACATCATATTATTGACAATACATCAATTAGGAGTGAATGGAAAGTCTAAGTTGTGTCGGTGTCGTGAGAAAAAAGTATTCAACTATTCATCCTAGTTAAATAAACGGAGATCGATGGATTTCACTCAGTCGGCACATTTATTAATAATCTTTGCAAAGAGAGAACAGTCATCATGGCACAGCATTCTGCTCTGTTCTGATCTGGGCAGGGTTNAAAGGGTTGAACCGTCATCCACTAATAAAGAACATGTGGGACAGTGATGAACTAAGAGCAATATCTTTAGACCAAAACACCCCAGATAATAATTGCCATCCAATCTTAGAGAATATCGAGTCATATCATGTCAGTAGAAATTAGAATAAGCTGAAGTGAGCTGGCTGCACAGACTGCTGGGGATTCACCACTGTCGTGTATCTCAGAGATTCCAAGGCTTTTAGCTAGGAATATTTCATAGGGTGTAAACCTTGGTGTATCACTTTTAGGCTTTGCGCGGCATAGGGAGCTCCGGGGGTATCCTCCCCCGGACAATTTGAGCAATTTAGACTCTCTGAAAGGCTATTTCTTGCTTTTTGAGGTGGAATGCAGCTAACTTTTTTCTTTGTTACAACCTGCTTTTGTCCTAAATATGGGAAGTATGTGTGCTTTACTAGAGGTGGAAATTTCATAAGGAACACAAGAGATAATTTTTTAGGTTTCATAGGCTAATTCAAACAATCAGAAAGTGTAATGCTACGTTTACACCAAGATTTAAGCAGCAAAAAAGCATCTGCTGCTCCATTATTGATGCTTGTACAGATAAAGGTCAGACGCACTTCAGGAGAATCTTTGTAGCTCCTAAAGCGCGTCCAGTAAAGTGTTTTCCAGATGCGTCTGATGCTTCTGCTGATCCTGTGTTCAATGGCAAATAGAGGCTTTGCTATATTTGCTGTGATAAGGAGGTAAAAAGTAGATTTAATATATCTTTATGCAAGAAATTAGACCTCAAAACATTGTCTGTTCAGTCAATTCTTAAGTCTTAAAATATTATTACACTGTTGGAGGCACTCAGAACCCTGTCATTAGGAATCCCCTGCAGCAGGCCCTGTCACATGTTGGGGTTTTTCCCCTAATGTTCTGGTCGGCTGGAAGTAGAGTTTTAGCCTTTTTCATGTATGTGGCAGGCACCTGAATAATAATAGCAAACATGTTTTCCCAGAAGGTTTCAACATTTTGAGTTAATTTAGGCATTGATAAACAGTTTCAGTGGAGTGGTCATATCGCTCTGCATCAGAAGCGCTGTGTCTGTCGCCCTGCCAGCTCCCAGACCAGCTTCTCTGATTGGTTGATGTGGTACGTTGAGCAGCAAAAGTTCAATATTTCCAATTCCAGCATCTGCTGCTTGTGAAATTTTGAACATTTGAGCTTATTTTCCACAGGGGAAAAACAGGGCATACAATATGTCATTTTTTTAGTAAAGGGCGTACGATGTACGGCCGTATGCATCGCTAGCTAAAAGCCTGGTGGTTCCCAGCCCTGGTCCTCAGGGACCCCTGCCCTGCATGTCTTAAATATGTCTGTTCCAGCACACCTGATTCAAATTAGGGCTCCTCCTTTGCAATCAAGTCCTGCAGAAGCCTGTTAATAATCTATGATGCAACAAGGAAATGCCAAAAACATGCTTAACAGGGGTCCCTGAGGAACAGAGTAAAGTCTGACCAAGGTAGACCAGAGGTGCATTTTGTTCAAACCTATGCAGCATTTTGACAAGAAACTCTGTTGTCAGAAAGGAAGTAAAACACTGGGAAAATTATCTAGAAATAAGTAAATAATTTCTTAAATTAAGTGTATTTAGCCTTAATTTGAGCACCGGTAGGTAAATTGCTAATAAAAGGAGTATTTTTACTCTTCAAATAAGATAATTAGATAATATTCATTTGAAATACGACAATGCAATTGTGTTTTCTTATTTTAAGTGTAATTTATCTTGTTCCATTGGCAAAATGTCTCTTTTACCTCCTAAATTCGAGAACAGATGCACTTATTTTAAGAAAAAATGACTTGTCTAGCTTTCAATTTTTTCAGTGAACAAAGTGGGAAAGTAAAACACAAAATACAGACTACACTGGTCAAACTGTCGCATTAACTGATTTGGTAATAGAGTACTGATATGTCAATAAATATCACACAGGTTGAAAACAAGCCGTCATTCAGACTGGGACGTATGATAGCAACGATGCCTTTAAAAATAGTTTTCTTTGTACAGAAGTACAGGGAAAAACAAGCATGTTTGTGTCTATTTAAAGGCTGCCATACCCTATGATGATACTTAATCACATGAGTCTGGTGATCAGCTCACTGTCCCTGTAGTCCGACCCTATTTGCTTTGAAGAGGCAGATCGATGCATCTACAGTCGGATTTAGGCAGTGGGTTTGGGTCTTAAAGCGCTGCAGATCTCATTTACCTGGTTTAAGGTTCACGATTCAACAATAGAACTGGACAGAAACAGCATCCAGGGGTTTCAAATGTGAAAACCTCTACTGACCAAATGTTAATCCAAGGAGCCTCTCACATTTGCTTAAAAACATTTTTATTATTGTCATGATTAGTAAAGAATATTTTATAAACTGATGAGACAAAAAGTAGGAAGGTGTATCCTGTTACAGCCGATGTAAATAAAGGCAGCGTTTAAGAGAAAGTCCGTCACACTTTGAAACATGATGATTTAAGTCTGATGTAGGAGCTGGTCCATTTGCTGTAACTTACAGAACCATGAGTTCTGTCCTGCCGTAGGTTTGTGATATTAGCTCTAGCACAATTTCTCATGCAAAAACAAAACAAGAAAAAAGCTAAATGAAGGTTTTGGAACAGTCTGGTAAAACTCTAGACTTAAATGTCATTGAGATTCTGTGGCTTGATTGACTTCTGGCGATCTTGACTGATATTCAACTCTGTTCTCAATCATAAAGCGAGTCATATAAAGTAAAAACAAAACAAAACATTTTTGAAACTGAAACTGAACGAGCATATTTTCTTACAGTGTTTGTTTTTGAATTTTATGATTTATCTCTGTGTCCTCCTCTGTCCTTGTTCAGGGGAAGATGGACACGATAAACGTTGACAAAGCTGTGGAGTTCGTCTTGTCTTGTATGAATTTCGATGGAGGTTTTGGCTGCAGACCTGGTTCAGAGTCTCACGCCGGTCAGGTGAGTTTAATCTTGTAACTCACTAAATAAACTTTTATGCTTTTGAAGCAAAACACATAAAGCTCTAAACATAATATTAAACGGCTTTAAATGTAGAATAACATTTGAATTTAAGTGAGCAGCTGATTTAAACAGAATGAACTTATTTAACAGATGAGTCACTGAAATCAAACGTCCCCTTTCAGATTTACTGCTGCACTGGTTTCCTGTCGCTCACTGGCCAGCTCCACCAGCTCAACGCAGACCTGCTGGGATGGTGGCTCTGTGAGAGACAGCTGCCGTCTGGAGGCCTCAATGGAAGACCAGAGAAGGTTTGAGGCTTTCTGATGAATTGTTTGCCAATCTGATCAGGTTTCTCAGCTCAGGTGGATGTGGCTAAAGATGGAAAAAAACTTTTAGAGCTTAGTGCTTGTCCTAAATGTTATAAAGGCTTTTGAATAGGCCCTTAATTTCCTACTTGGAGCTAAAACATTAAAAATATTAGCGTAATCACTACTACCTGATTGGATGGAGTTGATTAGAGCCGAGTTAAGGGCAGACAACAGTAACCAAATAGTGATTTGGATGCTTCGGCGGTTTAAAGGAACCCAGCTTGAGAGGCTTTAAAGTAACTTTGACTGACACAAGCTTACATTAGCCTTTAGTGACTAAAACAGCTACCTACATTATGTAGAGGGTGAATTAAGTCGGTGCACTGCTGGGAAGAACGAACCGCTGCTTGTTGTAATAAGCTGTGTTTTATGAGCCAACAATTCCAGCGTACATTTCCTGCTCTAATGAGACAGGTGTGAACCCCAGTCTAATACATGTCTGGCACATGCTTAAGTCTCAAAGACCCCACTCTGCTTGCAAGCTGTTGAACATAATGGGTTTACATAAACCCTGCAGTGCGTGTGTTGTGTTTGAAATGCTCATTATCATCAGTTTTAACCTTGGCTTTCTTTGCACCTGCGACTTAGTAAACTTTATGTAAACCAACTACCACACCAGCCAAGTAGGAGAAATGCTTTCAGATTTCTGAGAAATCTGAGGGGCGGCCTAAGGCAAAACCTTTACCAAAGTAATGCCTATGATATATCCAAAATGAATGTAGAAATAGACCAAGATGAAAAGGCACATAGACCTACCTTTACTAGTTCTCCCTCATCATTCATCTATTTCTATCTTGATTAAGACGCAGGATGTTATTGTTTCCTTGTATTTTCATGATTAGCATTGGCTTTCTATAGTTAGCTTTGCCGTCCATTTTCTTCTGCTGTACTCGGGGCCGGGTCACGGATGCAGCAGTCTAAGCACAGATACCCAGACTTCCCGATCCACACATTCCTCCCCCAGCTGCTCTGGGGGGACTCCAAGGCGACACCAGGTCAGCTCAGAGGCACGGTCCCTCCAGCATGTCCTGGGCCTTCCACGAGGCCTCCTCCCAGTAGTACACATGCCTGGAACACCTCCCCAGGGAGGTGACTAGGAGGCATCCTTTGCAGATGCCCGAGCCACCTCAGCTGGCTCCTTTTTGACGTGGAGGAGCAACGACTCTACTCCAACTCCTCCTGGGTAACTGAGCTCCTCACCCGATCTTGAAGGGTGCACCGATCCACCCTGCAAAGGAAACTCATTCCGGCTGCTTGTATTCGCAATCTTGTCCTTTTGGTCATTGCTTAGATCTCATGACCGTAGATCGATCGGTAAATTGAGAGCTTTGTTCCCTCTTCACCACGGCAGTCCTATACAGCAACCGCATCACTGCCACAGCGATCCGTCTATCGATCTCACGCTCCATCCATCCCTCACTCATGATAAGACCCAGAGATACTTGAACTCCTCCACTTGAGATAAGGACTCTCCACCGACCTGAAGGAGGGAGTCCACCTTTCTCCGGTGGAGAACCATGGCCTCGGATTTGGAGGTGCTGATCCTCATCCTGGCCGCTTCACACTCGGCTGCAAACCGCCACAGTGCACGCCGAAGGTCCTGGTCTCATGAGGCCAACAGGATAACATTATCTGCAGACAGCAGAGATGATATCCTGAGGTTCCCAAACTGGACACCCTCTGGCCCCTGGCTGCGCTTAGAAATACTGTCCATAAACGTAATGAACAGAACCGGAAATAGTTTTTTTGCCACAGAGCAGTCTTTGAGACTGTAATTTAATCAGTCCATGTAGGCGATTCAAAAACAATATTTAAAGGGCTGTTAATAGTTAGTGAGTGAGTATTTATTGTTAAACACTATGAAATTAAATAAAAAGTGGGGAAATGGTAGAACTATGAAAAATAGTCTTGAGATAAAGAATCTCTGTTTTTGCAGGGAGGGAGAATAAAATATAACTGAGATCATACTGTGCTGTGACTTTGCTTGATTATTCTATTGGAGTGCACTAGAATAGGTTATTTAAATAAAACACACAAACAAAACTTCATTTGAGGGAATCCTACTCCTGGGTCCCCTAAAGGGTTTAGTCATTTTCACTTTTTTCTTCCCTGACCTGTTTTCATGTCTGAGATGAACATATGTCCAAAAAAGTATTAAAAAAATAATTAAAATGTCTCTTTTTCTATTTCTTTCTAGCTTATTTTACACCTTTCATCAAGTTGATACAAATTATTTTATCATCTTTATTTTTATTTTATTTTATTATATGTGTATTTGACTATTTGATTCTTTTAAATGGGAAACTTAGTTCTTTCTTTTTCTTATTCACACGATGAAGTTACAGTCTGTTCCTCGATTTGATTTCATAGTGTGTGAAGAAGGAGTGACTCAGAAAAATCAGTCAGTGCAGGACTGAAGCAGATTTAATATCATTTGGTTGATGAGTTTGTCAAGCAAGTTCTGGATAATTATGTTAAAGCTCTTTTTGAACAAAGAGTCCCACCAGATATTGAGGACAAGGTTTCAAGTCCAGAATAAAATATGAATTTCTGTACAAAGGAAGGCTAAGTACATTTTAGTGTCTATGTAAAATTTTAATGGAGTACTAAGTGCTTTGTGTGGATCTGATGATGTCTCCTCATGTTTGTTTTTTGTTTTTTTTGTCTTAATCTTACAAACAACAAATAATAATAATTTTTTATGCACTCCTCCTTTTTAATCCTAGCTATTATTTGTTTACTATTTTATAGCCAAAATACCAAAGCAACCAGGTATTAATGTTGATTTATCCAATTCAGCTTAAACCAGGATTATTTAACTTGTGGTAATATCAACTTTAAATGTTTAGAGCGGAGCTGAATAAAATATTCATGTTTATAGACATCTTAATAATGCATGCTGACCTAAAAAGCAGACATTTTGTTGCAATCTCTCTTTTTTTTTAAAGTGTCCAACAGGGAGCTGGGATGATCAGCTTAGGTGGGATCTGTTACCATGACAATTGTTAGTCATTAACTACACAGTAGGATTAGAAGGAGTGACCGCAAGAAAAAATAAAGAGAAATCACATTTGCAGTTTGGTACTAACTATGTATGGGACACAGTAAAGTAAACTTCAAGTGGAGCTCTGCTTAGATGGCCTTAAAGAAAAACACAGCGTGACAGAAAACCATCACTGCACATCACCTGTTTAACACAAGCTGCGTCCAGATTTACCACCTGCAACTGTTACGGCTGCATCTGTAGACTGATTACATTAACGCAGGGCCATAAAGTCTTAGATGGGTCTGGTGTATCCCTATGGCCCAGACTATACCAGGGTTTTTTGGTGAATCAATGCAAACTGATCAAACTGAAGCTACAGAAGCTGCTAATAAAGTTGGTGGATTTACAGTTAGCTAAAATAAACTTTTAGGTGTTTTTATGTCCTCTCTAAGCTAACACCCTAGAGTTTGGACAAAGTCAGTTTGTAGTGAAGCTAAGAAGGTGGTTTGAACAAAACAAAAACAGGATGAGCCAGGAGAGGCTGTGAAGGACTTGATATTCAGAAGCAAATACTGCAGTTGATTTTCAGATTTGGAAAATCACTTTTCATTTGGTAAATGTTAGTATTTGCATATTCTCCACTCATGAACATTTTGGTCTGTAGAATTGGACCTGCATACTGATGAAAGCTAAAACACAACAATAGGTTTGCACAAACTGTCTGCTAATTTGCAAACGCAAATCACTTTCCCCCTTCTTTGAAGATCTGCTCTGTGCCTACAGACACGTTTGCACTAGATAAGATTACTCATGATTTATCGATAATTGAAATAATTGTCAACTAATTTAGTAACTGATTAGTCGTTAACTGGAGTGCAGAGAATATAAAGTGTGATTTTTAGCTGAGAGAGCAACACAGTTAGAGAAGTAATTATACCAAGATTGCAAAAAATATTTATACCAACATTTTGTATTTAAGAGAAATAGATAAATCTTTTTTCTTCAGCTTTTTATTGTCATTACACTGTCACAAGTACAGAGCATCAAAATGAATGCGTTTAACTCATCCTCCTGGGGAGCAGTTGGCTGCCATTTTGTGGCGCCCGGGGAGCAGTGTGGGGTTAAGGGTGTTTGCTCAGAGACCCTCAGTGGCAGTGGGGCTTGAACTCAGAACCTCTGGATTCCAAGCGCAATGCCCTAACCACTAGGCCGCCTCTCCCATTAATACCTTTTATCTTTCAGTATGCTCTTTCCCAGAACTCAAGTGGAAAAGTCTTAATTTCGTCAGTAGTCTTCTTTAAGGAACCTTTGGCTATCCGATTGTTGATCGATTAATTGAAAACATAATTAACAGATTAATGGATCTGCAAAATAATTGTTAGTTGCAGCCTTAGTTTGCATCTTTTTTGCAGTACACCAACCTTCTGGAGATCAGGCCCTAAATGTTTACCTTTAGGGTTTTTACACAGTGAGCTAGTTTATCAATTATGAGGCTGCATGGAAAAACAAAGTGATGAAGTCATGTCACTCGGAGCCGTGCAAGCCCAAATAAAACGTATTCAAGTGAAAGTTTGACTTGTCATCCAGCCCTACCTTAGAAATTCTTTGGTAAATATAATATAAGAAGCTAAACTTGTTTTTATCTCTAAAGAACGTTATCCTCTGTAGAGAGTAATTTGTCTAAATGAATACGAGGAACATAAATTGTCTTATGTATTAAATGATTAGATTCATGCACTTACAGAGAAACCTCCGTCTCTCTCAGCTTCCAGATGTTTGCTACTCCTGGTGGGTCCTGGCATCTCTGAAGATCATCGGCAGGATTCACTGGATTGACAAAGCCAAGCTGCGGCGGTTCATCCTGGCCTGTCAGGACGAGGAGACGGGAGGATTTGCTGACAGACCGGGAGACATGGTGAGACAGGATTGTGTCAAAAGCTGTCATGCAACCAAACTCCAGTGATCGCCTGCTGATGCTGTTAAATCTCTGCTATCTTAGTTTAGCTCTTTTTTTTCATACTGTGCTTTAAGAAAGTATCATCCCCCCCCTGTAGATGTTATGTTTATCACTCTAAATTTTTTATTTTTAAACATGAAGGGTCACCAAAAACAAGTTTTTCAATTATTTCATTTATTGGAGTAAAGCATGCTATCTTATCTCTGGATACCAATCCAAACTAGATCAGTTTCTGTAGATAGATCTGCAGCAACAGGAAATTCACTTAAATGAATCCTGTAGGACAACATGAAGTAGGTCAAATGAGCTCAAACAGCGAAAAATCATCTTCTGACGTAAAGACATCCAAGAGCAGACAATGAGTGGTCATTTATATCTTAGCAGTCATTTTTAAGGCTCTGGGACATTTTATTCTCTGGGCCTGGCAGAGCGTTTGCTACAGTGAGCTGCTATAACCAAGACCGTCACTGCAGCAAGACGTATTTTAAGGAATTTCAGCCTGAGCACCCCGACTTAATGTGATGTCATAGAACGACATTTTGACTAGTATTGTCAACTAGTTGACTTGGAAACATCACAACTCGTTAAAGCCCTATCTTGAAGTGATCAACAAACCAGACTGATTACAAGAATGCAGAAAAGATGCAAATCCAGAAGGCCATAAGAAGAAAAGATGGCTACAGGTCCCTATAATCCACCACTACAGGCTTAACTTGCCTTGTGTTCAGGTTTGGGTTCATGATTCAATAATTAGTGAAACTTTAAAAAATAAAATTGCAAATTGGCCTCTGTGAGATAGCTCTTGGGTTAAAAGAACAAAGGCACGTCTCACAATTTACCAAAAAATCTTTATGATCCCACAGGGTTTTGCTAAAATATTGTGGACTGATGAGAAGTGGACCTTTGTGGAAGCCGATGGCCCTGTTACATCGGCTGTATGTTACTGCAGCATTTCAGGAAAACATCATCAGAATGACTGTCAAACAATACTGTGGCAGGATGATGGTGCGAGGCTGCTTTGTTTCTTCAGGACCTGGAGGTCTTGCTGTGATTGTTGGAACCACAAGCTGACATAAGGGAGAAGTGTGCAGACTTTAGCTGTAGAGCAGGACGACGGTATAAGTCCAACATTTGAATCATAAATAAATGAAGCTTTTGGTCAAAGTCTGGATTTAAACCGGATTCAAATATCCTAAACCTTAAAACAAACTTTCCAACATGGCTGAATTAAAACAACTCTGCAGTAAAAGGGGATCAGAAATCCATCCAGAGTGATGATGTAAAACACTCATTGCTAGAGAATAATGTCTTGAACTACAGTTGTTTTCTTTTTAACCTTTTGTTTTTATTTTCTCTATCCTCACTGGCATAATGTTTGACTGCCAAAACCTAAACCTGTTAGGTTTAGATTTTATGATGACACATAGAGATGGATCAGTTATAATAGTCTTTGGTAGTTTTTCCCCCCCGAACATAATTATGATAATAAAAAAACATAATTTGATTTTCCTTCTGATTATTTTTGTCTAATATTAACATTGTTTAGTAACCAATAAGGGGGGAAGTATTTTTCACAGCACTGTAAGTCATTGGTATGTGATGAGCAACATTCTGGGAGCTGATTATGCATCATATTGAACCTCTGGTCTTTCTCTACAGGTGGATCCTTTCCACACTCTGTTCGGAGTTGCAGGCCTCTCTCTTCTCGGTGACGAGCAGATCAAAGCGGTGAATCCCGTGCTGTGTATGCCAGAGGACGTCCTGCAGAGGATTGGTCTGCAACCCGACCTCCTCAGCTAGCACTTCCACTCATCAAATAACAAACTCCAACACTGCTCCCCCCCAACTAAGGCCCCTCGGCCTGAGTTAACCACTACAGCCGAACACTGGATGTAGATAGAGGACCACCGCACGCTATGAAGCACCCATCAGTTTTATTTTTTTGTCTTTTTTTGCTATCCTGATTGTGTTTAACAACCTGCTTCTTAAAATCATCAATATGAGGGTTTTTTAAAAGTAACTTCTTTAAAGTTTGGACCTCAGAAGCTACATTCCTTCATTCATTACCTTACTTTTTTACTTATCTTTAGGAGAAACCTCTATAACTTTTTCACGTTTCTCCCATTACTATAAACCTTTCTGTATTTTATTGGGATTTAAATGATAGACCCACACAAAGTGCTCGTTTAGAAGAGTATAGCTGAAAAGGAGAACTTTATATAGTTTGGCAAAATAATAAGAGCATACTTGTTGATCCTTTCAACAGCTTGGGTTTTATTAGGTGGGGGGCAAATTTAAATTTCAGAATACATACCTTCTACAGAGCTCACAGTCATTAGTTGTTCAAATATATAACATTATGTACTGTTGTGTTAGTCTATAAGATATATCCTAATAAAACCCATAGAAGTTTGGTCTGTAATGTGAAAACATGAAGTTTTACTGAAGGTTTCCTGCCCTCTTTAGCTGCAGGTTGAACACAAACTAAAAAGATATTGAAACGGAACCTTTGAGATTTTCACCATGAAAAAGCAGAATTTCATAGCAGAAAAAGGGAAGAAATTTCCTTCCACTGTATGCAGTAATGAAAAGGCGTTCAGATATGAAACAAAGAGCATGTGTGTCGCACTCAAGCAATCCCAGCCTGCTGTGGTAATGCTGCACACAGCTGGAGTGGAGCCACAGGAGTCGCTGGAAGCGCTGCTTAATGCGTCTCATTACTACAACCAGAGAGAAGCTGTTTAAATAGGGGTTCTCGTAACTGTAAATGTTACGGTATGATTTATATTCCAGCTACACTATTTATTCAAATCTGTCACTCTGCAGGCAGCTGCATTTGTTCAGCCTCCCAGGAGCTTATTTGTACTTGAGTTCTGAACCGATTCCACCGAATCTTTCTCTGATTGGCTCCGCATTTGATTTAGTAAATCTCTACGTCTCTCGTCTGAAAATATTTGTTGTCAAATAGCTGGTGGGTGTGTATTGTTACAGAGCTTAATGGACAAGCATCAGCGTTCTAATGTTTGAGTCCAGTGGAGAAGACAATTAAGGAATAGTTTATGTTTACAAAGATTTATCAAAATAAAACGACATGATCAAAAACTGGTATTTTGTTTCACACTTCTTTATTTCATGCTTTGCTGCCATTTTCCCTTTTTAAATGTTGTTAAATGTAAATTTAGCAAACATTTTATCACAGGTTTATTGAGTCTGTAGACAAAATGTATTTGTTTTTAAAGAAATATCAAGTTGTCTGTTTGTTGTCATTTAACTCTTGTTATATGGACGTAATAACCTTTATCCACCCATTGAATTAAAATGATTCAAAAGGTCATTTTAAAAATTAAATGCATTTTAACCCTTTAAAGGGCACTCAGTGAAATACTTTGAAAATCCAAATTTCAAGCCAATTATGTTATTGAAATAAGACCTTATTAGCTTTTTAACATTCAAAAAATATGGATATTTTGATGGCAAAAATTAATGTCAATGTAATAACTGTAGATAACGCCAAATAACTAAAGTGCTTCTATAAGAAATTGTGAGAGTGAAAGAAACATTTTTTTTGGTCCAACATAACCTTAGAGGCATTAATGCTGATACTGGCACTTACATTTTATAGTATATAAACCTAAATATAATTGTTAACTAGGGTTATTAACTTTTTAACTTCAACTTTTTAACATTTCAATTAGCTTTTTACCTTTTTTTCTTGACTTAACTTTTTGTTTTTTTCATTCAAGGGCTCATCTAATTGGTCAAGTGCGAAAATTAGATCTACAACCATGTAGCAGTATCTTTGCTGAATGCCTGGAAATAGATCTTTTGCTTCTAGAACTCACAGAGCGACGGTGGGGGGACTCCATTTGTAAGGGGTATGCAAGCGATCAAAATGGGTAACTTGCCCAATAAAAGGATTAAGCATTTTATTCAACAGTTTTTCAGTAGTTAAATAGAATCGTCCTTTAGTTTTTTTTTTTTTCCTCGGTCTGTAAATGTTTTAGACATTAAAATGAATTAAATTAAATATTTACTCCCTTTTATGTCACAGAAATGTACAAGTTAATAGTTTGTGATTTAGACTGAATTATTCAGATTTTTAGGAGCACCCTGGGAGTTGTTTAGGTTTTTTTTTTTATGTTCATAACATTCAAGTTCAAATTATGGTCTTGGGGCCCATTTACAGCCCTTGGAATCATGATATGTGGCCCCTCAACCCCAGTCCACTAATGGTACCAGTTGAAACCAGTAATTTTTGCCTGTTGTTTAAGATTGCTTCCTTTTAACTTTTATGACAATATTTTAATTGACAAATTAAAATCCGTTTCATATAAAGGAAAATGAATCAGTTTTAATTAGGCACCTTTTGGTTTCATTCTATCTTCATAATATGAAGAACCACAAAGGGCCTTTCAGTTTATTCATTAGCAGACATTGGCTATTTTATTCATTAAGCCTGACTTACATCAACAACCTTTGATGAAGTGAACCAGTTAATCTTGTTACTGAATAAGGAAACTATGTGAGACAAAAAAAAAAAAAAATAGATAACGGCATTATTTGATTTTGGATCTACAGTTATTTTCACATAACTTTTGTAAGAAAATCAGACTAAGATCATTTAATTAAAAATATGACAAGCTTAGTTTACTAATGAACAAGTCAAAATCAAGAGAATATCAGTTATCTTTTTTATTTTCTTTTAGCAATATTTCTTTTTAGCCTGGAATATACATTTTTGTATACACAATGAAACTCAAACCCATTTTAAACCATAAAAATACAATTAAACATTTGGTAATATGTCTTAGAGATAATCACATGCTAAGTTATGTTGAGTCTTTCAAAGTGATATTATTTTTAAAAGAAAATGATCAGAAACTTATTAGAGATCCCCAGATACTTATTTGAGGTCATATTTATATTTGGCCACTAGATGGCACCCTCATTGTTTTAAAAACATCAGTTGTATTGTTCCTGAGTTAGATTTTCTAAAAATGAGGCTTACATTTAAAATCCAAACTTTACTCAGACTTATTGTTCTGTTTTTGAAAAGGTATGATGTTGCAATTATGTGATGCATTAGAGATTAGGACAGTTTGTTTTAATAAGTATGTGCATAATAGCATTTTTAACAAAAATAAGAATATTTATGCTATTTATTGAAAGTATATATTCATGTATGTAATGTTTTGAGCAAAGGGCGGTACTAAGAGGTCCAAACAGAAGGTAGTGAAGCTGCCTTTGCGTTTGCCTGCAGATTGTTTTGCTTCCCCTGTGGTAATTTGGCAGGATGGCATGATAGCTAATGCTCCATGTGCTGGAGTGTGATTTTGGGTCGTGCCTCTCCTGCCAGGGGGAATCAGTGTGAACAGACTGTTTAGTAGATGCATTGCTTCCTCTGTGGGTCTCAGGGGCGCCTTTTGGAGCTCTGGAGCCCAGTGATCTGCTGCACCGCCTGCACCACAGTCCCTATGGGGTTTGGAGTAGCAGGATGGAGGAGTTTCTGTCCAGTTTTCTATGGCCGCCTGTCAGAGGAATCCCAGTGATTCTTTTGGACAGTTACTATATCCTCGTGCCCAGATGCTAAAAGCTCACAAAAGACTTAACTCTTTGCATAGCCTCATGGTAAATACTCAAATGAAATGCATGTTCTTTTCAACCAGAATTAATGGTCTTATTAACCTCTCCGGACCAATGAATAACTTTAAATGTAAATGAAGGCATGCTCTTTATTTAGAAAGAGGTCCGGCATCCTGGAAATGCCACTGTCAAAGGTCTAATGCGTCCATTTTTGTTTCACAGCAGCAAACGGTTGTAGTAATGAGGTAGAATAAAGATAGATGCAGCCTGCTGGAGTAATTAGAGGCAGGTAATTCTCTCCTTCCCATGTTTCTTCCCTGTGATGAAGATAAGAAACACCCCCTGCAGTGCAACCAAGATAAGAAAATGACACTTTACTTGGAACAATTTCTAACAGTTGGTTTCATACTGTCAGGCAAATAATGAAATGACAGCAGGATCATTATCACCCCCACTAATATGATGATGATGGCGAGAACTCTAATGTTTCCATGGTAGAGTGATCTGCTGGAGCTTTAGGCGCTATGAATGAATCAAGGCTCACATTTAAAGGACAGAATTTGTTTTGTACATCCTGCTTTTTTCATATTTTTTATTATTTTGTCTATGCTTTTAAGTTTAAAATGTACCAAGATTTGCATCTTTAGTGGCTTTCAAAATATTTTACAAAATTACAAATTGGAACTTTTTCTACTTCTGGCACTAGACAAATAAGAGCAGGTACATGCAGGCTTTCAGGAACTCAAATATCCTACATTACGGAGAAGGACAAACATCCCGAGGATGAATTGACAATTCATCAAGGAAGTAAGACTTGCTACACCACAAAGTAAAGCTAAAGAGGTTACCAGGAGTGGGGATTGAACCCACGAGGACATATGTCCATTGGATCTTAAGTCCAACGCCTTAACCACTCGGCCATCCTGGTTCTCATATTCCCAGATGATCTTCGGAAAACGGATGTACAATTATCGAAAACTCAGGCCTTTTCCTACTCCGGCACACTAAAAAGGCAAAGCCCCAGTGGGGTTTGGCATCTACTTACTATCACATGTAAAGAAAACAAGACCAAGATACTTACATTAAGCTCCTCACATTGAGGCCAATCTGAGCTCCAACCCAGAGGGGGTAGAGTACCATTGAATTTTTCTGTTTATTTCGCATTTCCCTTCAGTTTCTCTCCTCATGCTCCTTCTTAGATGCAAAGCTTTTTCGTTTGACGTAGTTTAGAGAATAATTCATCATCAACACCTAGCAGTTTATAAGCCAGTTCTTTTTCATCACTTATTGTTAGACCCTTTAGCTTTGCTGTCATGCTGGTTCTGTCAGTAAGTCTGTCTCTCGGTGCATAATGTTTTGATGAAGCTGATATGTTTCCTGACTTTTTATATAAATGATTTTTGCCCTAACATCGACATTGCTACTTAGCAAGTCTGGCAGCCATGTTGGATTAAGATCAGGGTTGGTGAAGAACATAACAACTTTCAAAGACTAACACAAGCTTATTTAAAAAAAAAAAAACTTTTTCCAACTTGCAAGTCAGGACTTAATAATCAATTGCACTTTACTGATGGTAAATGGCCTGTACTTAAATAGCACTTTTTCAAGTCAGGAGACATGACCAAAGCACTTTACCCTACATTCAGTCATTCACACACACTCACAGTAGCAAGCGACATTGTAACCACCATCAGTAGACAATGCAGGTGAAGTGTCTTGCCCAAGGACACAACAACAATAAAACTCAGAGCCAGGGCTTGAACCGTCAATCCTTCGATTTCAGGGCAAACTCCTACATCCGACGCCACTGTCATATTGACAAATTTTACCTCTACATGTTCACCTTGGGGAGCTCTGGGCTGCCATCAGGGGTTAAGGGTCTCAGAGAGACAAAGTGGCAGACTGTGGGAGCAGGTTTCAAACTCACAACCTCAGGATTCCAAGCTCTATTCCCCAACCACTAGACCACCACTCCTCAATTTCTCTACTACAAATAAAAACAGAACCAACCATCAGAACCTGGATGTGGAAAATCTACTTGTATTGTTCCTTTTGCATATAAGAAATCCAGTGTTTAATCATCTCTGTGCATAGTGACCAACATCCCATCAATGGACCAGCATCATTTTAGTGCAAATTAACTGTTTAGCTTCCCCCACCTTTTATGTGGGGGGGGCAGCGGTATTGCATTCTGGGGTTGGGTTTAATGAGAAACCTCAACCCTCTACTGTCAAATGGAAAACACCATTAGCATCATGCTGATGCCCTTTACTAACATGTCACAAGACTATCTATGAATGCAAATTTTGTGTATTAACTCCTACACAGTCTACAAATATTAGTAGATGACCTTTTACCATTAGCAGACTAATCACTTCTTTTATGCATTATACAGCTAGCATACCAAATAATCTGTTGTCCTCTACTCTCTCCTACTGCTATGTGGGCTTTTCTTGCTGCAACGTGACAATGCCAGATCTGTGAGTTCTGTTGGATTTGTGTGTTTATTTAGCTAATGGGGAGCACTAATCTGTGGCCCCACCATTTTTGGATGAAGACAAAGATGGCCGGTTGTTAGGCTACTGAGAAACCCCACTGGCGCTCATTAGTGAGACAGAGACAGATGA